GAGACCAATTCGAGTAATAACGTAAATAACAAGAGGGAATAATGAATTAGAAATTTCAATTGTAAGTGTATATATTTAAGTTAAGATTCCCAAAAATAATATATATATATATATATATATAATTTTTTTAATGAAGTATCTTAAATTTCATCTTATTTATTTATTTTATATTATTTAATTATTATTAATATAGTATTTGTCATTTTTTTTCTTATCATCTTATATATGTTGTTTGTATATTTTCTAATTCATTATATTATGTTAGTTCTCGTTTACAATTTCTTATGATATTAATACATGGATCACAATGATTAAATTTTATTTTATTTTTTAAATTGACTTATGAAGAATTCCTTTATTTATGCTAATAATTAGACATTTATTCATTACCTGGATAATTTATTTTTAGTTTATTGTCAAATATAAAAAAGAAAAATATAATAAATATAAAAAATGACAATTATATTATTATAAAGTACATGATAATTAATATTTATTTTTCATATTTTTGTTGTGATAAGCATATTATTGTTAATATTATTAATTAACTATTATAAACATGTTAATTATGAGTACTAAAAATTTGAATTAATGACTATGATATAGATTTATAGTGGATGTTTTGACCTTGGAGATTCAAATGAGTATATATTTAATTAAGAGGGTGACCCTTGTATTATTTTATTCATAGTTAAACTCATATATTCTTACTGGTCATTACAAATTCTTGATTAAAATCTTTTCATGAAGTATAATTAAAAATTAAAAATTATGAAAATCTATAATACATTAAAATTATGTGTCATAAATTGATGTAGGATGATATGGTTATATATTTTATATTTTTTTATTGACCTATGTGATAGTTGTTCTCACTCTTTTGTGTTTTCTTGTTTCTTATTTTAAATAAAATACAATGAAACATTAAATAGATGGATGACCACATATGTCTAGTCCTTTTCCCACTATAATTCAAGTTGTCTTTTTGGTACCAGTTGGAATTTAGACACGATCAACAATGCCCCTTTGGTAATTAAGGAGTATAACATCTCAAAGATATCGAAATGAGAAGAATAAAAAATTTGTACAAGTGTGAGACTGTACAATTGATGATGTTTTAAAGAGTTAATTAGTACTATCTATACAAGATATATTTATTTTTTAGTAGTTCATTACTTAATAATTTTATAGTTAAGCGTAATTGACTTGAAAAATAATTTAGAGATAAATGATTTTTTGAAAAGTTTTCCAAAAAATGTGAATAAAAATACATGGTGAAAAACCGTTTTTTATCTCCACTTTAAGTGGACAATTATATACACTACATTTCTTAAAAATAAAAATAATAAAATAATCGTTGATCATATTTTCTAACTAACTATTGACAATCACCCATTTAATTTATTTATTATTAAATATTTTTTAGTCGATCAATTGGCTTATACATATTCAGCTTATCTACGAAATTCACCCAATTAAATTAAATGTTTTGGGCAACAATCTTGAATTTCCTATCACAAAAGGTAAGGCATAATCATATCATTTTCTACCTAT